TATATATATATATATATATATATATATATATATATATGTATAGAGTTCTCTCTCCCACCCTTAAGGTTAATTAATTTCATGGTATAAAACTTGCTCAGCTATACAAAGAATCCATAATAAATATATAGAAAAAATAACTTATTATTGGTTTCCAGATAAGGAAAAAATTACTGTCCCATGCACATGCACATCGAACATACAAGAACAAAAGAAAATTAAAACAAAAAACACACATTTTTTACTTAATTAGATCACATTTGTTAGATTTTTATATCTACTCTTTGTGAAGCTACATTTCTTAAATATGTTTTGAAAATTATAGCCTAAGATCTAAGCTCATCATCATTTATTGATAAATTTTAATTAGAGCCTGATATTGATAAATTTTAATTAGTGTCTGGCATTGATAACTTTTAATTAGAATTCAAATTGATAACTAAAAACAAAGTCAGATAAACAGATTGAAAGAATAGATTATTTTTGTGTTTGGTTTGCTCTTTTAATTTATTTTTAAATTAAAGTTTTGAATACCTCAAATATTCTTAGAGACAACATTTTATTTTGTTCAAGTAAATTAAGTAAAAAGTTTTAAAGGTCGGTCTTAGCATAGGTAAAAAAAATAAGCAGATTGAAATTGTACAAAAAATAAATCGGTTTACATTTATTTTCAGAGTCAGGACTTTAATTGAAATATAGTGATTATATCCAATGCTTTCCCACTATCCCATCTACAATAAATGAGATATAAAATATACAATTGGTTTTTATTACTTACCCAATTCTTTAGGAGGAGAAGGGAAACTGGAAAGAAAATGAGAACACAATTACAATCAGACCAATATAAACACAGAATTTGGGCCCTTTGTTTAGGAAAGACATGAATAAGTATGAGCCTGGAGGCTTATAAAAGCTAATTAATGTGTTGACTATCATTCCTTTCTCATCCTCCATTTCTCCACTATGGCCCAGTTTCTGTCCATCAATTTGGAATTTAGCAAGACTTCCTTGAACTCCAATGTTGGCCAAAAAGTCAAGAGTCAAGACATTTAGTGGTTTGTTTTACCCACAGTCATTGGACCAACGTTTTCAGATTTGTTCTATGAAGTTTCGACATATTATCACATCAAAGTAGATTAAGTGGATTCAATGTTGTGGAGTCATTGTGGTATAGCTCAGGCCCCAAACTATTTATTTGACTCAAAGAGTAGAAATCCAGAGTTGAAATGAACAAAGGCCATAGGAATCGCTATATGACCATGTTTCCCCATATGTAAGTATATATCCCCAAATAGGAGAATGGTGAATAAGAAAGGAATACCCACTGAAACAAGTCAGGAAGAGCTTATTAATAGAAGTGATCTCAAATCAGGATTGGGTGGCATTTAGTTGCAACAGAAAAAGAACTTTGTTTTTATTATTTTCTGAACTTTAAACACACACACACACACACACACACACACACACATCACTGGAAGAAGTGTGCACAGTTAGACAAAAGTGTGAGAGGTCATTAGTTCAAATGATCCAAAATCAGAATTAGTTTGTGTGTAACTGGAGTAGATAAAATAATCTGTGTTTTACTTGTAAGTAAGGACTATACTTGAGCAATGCTGCATCAGAGAAAATGTATTATGTTTAGTTACAATTTTAAGTGTACTGTTTATTGAGTGTTTTAGTGTGTCACAAAAGGGTTTAATCATGTAACAGCTAACATGAGAGAGATCCTTCAAATTCATGTATACGGAATACACACTAAAGGGTTATTTGGGGATGGAAAGAGAAAACGTATACGTTAATTTTTAGTTAGACAAACTGAAGATATTTAGAGTAATTTTAGTAGAGGACTAAATATCTATTCCAAGTAGAATTAATATGTCACTACTGTGGAAGAGAGTTACAAAGATTTTAAATACTATATTTAGCAAATAGAAATTCCAGATTGTGCCCTTTATTTCTAGCAAATTAATTTTCAATAGAATATGTATATTTTGAATACTCAATATAAAATATATAATAAAACATGGCATTGAAATTGTGAGTTTTTAGATGTGAAGCTACAGTTGAAAAATACCCTACTGAGTGGAGTGTGAGTGTGTGCATGAGTGCATGAAGGTGTGTGTGCATGTGTGAGTGTGTATGTGTGCATGTTTGTAACGAAAGCAAAATGTATCTTTAAATCATATAATAGCTTTTAAATACTTTGTGCTCCTCTTATGTCGTCAATGCATGAGTTTAAGCGTGAGACAGTAAATGAGTGAAAGATCACTAATGGAAAATACTATGAAAATGGGTTCAGCCTGTCAGAATTTGGTTATTGGCTATAAAATATTAGTAGCATTTGATTAAATTAACATTAGTAGTTATTGTGCACTGGGTTTGGTTGGTTGACTCTTACTATGAACCTTCATTATTGTCTGACTCAGAGACTTTAGATTTCTCTCGTATACTTTTCTTTCTGTCATCTTTTCCCTTTAACATCTTCAAAATCCCCCAGGACCACGAATTGTTCTTGTCTTCATCCTGTGGCGTGGAGCTTAGGAGCATGCAGGCATTGGTCAGAATGGAGTAGTCGGTGGCGCGTAAAGACATTGGGTGGACATTCAGATTTGTTATACTTGCACGGCATTGACCATTCAGGCAGTAAGTTACTCATCATATTCAACAAGATGATGCTATTAAACCTATAGGTCACTGTCTTTGAATGCTGCTACCACTAGGTAAGTAGTAGGTAAGTTGTGTTTTTTTCTAGTTAGTAATATTTCTCTTGGTTCTTAAAATAGCAAACTAAGTCAGGATTAAGTTTTAAACATTAATTTAGCTTTATTTTATAGTTAAAAGGAAGTAATTAATAGATCTTAAAAATTAAAGCATGGCACTTCAAAAGTTTTAACAACTGCAGGATTAGGTATTCAGTACGGGTTTTGCCACAGGTAGCATATAGTCTCAATTTATTTGGGTTCCCTATAACTAAGATTATTATACACAGGATAGCTATGTAACTAATAAAATTGTCCAGAGATTGTTGTAAAAGTGTATTATTGACTGATAAAGGAATGACTGGGAAAAGTTTGGAAACAAACAAATAAACTACAACACCTGTAATTCTTTATCCCTTTTCATTTGACTTCTTTTGACATAGTTGTCGAGGTTCTTCCAAATAATATACCACTTCAGTTGAAGAGTAGTGCAATTATACTTCCCAATTTACTGCTGTTGTTAATTAAATATTTAAATCATTTTTGGTAAGGAAATAAGGAACACTATTTTCTGCTTTTTATTCTAACTAGAAATCAATATTAAATTTCAATATAGACAATAATTTGCAAAAAGGCAATTCACTAATTATTCTTACCCATCATCAGCATCTTCCTCGTCGATTCCATCATAAATATCATCATCTGGGGGAGGTGGGAACATCCCTTCATTTGGATTAAGGGGAGAAAAAAATCTTCTGTTAATTTTACAATTTGGTTTTATAATAGTCACTGAAAACTTGATAATAAATCTGCCTTATTTAACTGCAGAAAGCATCCCTCCTTTACATTAATTGTTAAAATAAAAAATAACTTTATTTTCCTACTCTCATATAAATAGTAGACACATTGTTTTGTTGGTAATTTTATAGGGAATTGTTAGAGGTGAAATGTAATAAAGATATGAATAATAATAAAAGGTACTGTGCACTGGAGATGAAAGGAATGGGTAGAATAAATACTAGAAAATGAAAAATTTAATAGAGAATAGAGTTAAATATTTATTGTGGAAAGTAAGAAGGGAGAAATGATAAGAAAAATTTAATTAATAGTGAGAAGCCATTTAGAAAAAGATATTGATGAAGATATAAGTGAAGAAAAGCAAATGGAATGAAATGTGATTTTGTAAACATTGATAGTTGCTGAAACAAACTTTCATTTCTTTTATTTCATTTCATCAAAGTGATGTTTTAAAAGTCAAACCCTTTGTTGTTTGAGTTGTTACCCTACACTCCTCAGGAAACTTGCCATGTGATATCTATGTTGAAAATATTGAAGTCGGCCGAATGGCTTAGTTGGTTAAGAGCTCGCTCAAGAGTTTGAGCTCTGAGCAACAGTGGTTCGATGCCCAGCCCAAGCTGAGTTGCCGCTGAGCTGCCAAAAGGTGGCAGGATGGCTAAAAAAAAAAAAAAAATATATATATATATATATATATATATATATATATATATATATATATATATATATATATATATATATTGAGAACCTTCTCTGTGCAGGAATACGTATAATGAACTTGAAATTTGACTTTTAGGATGAGAATTTTAACACTGCAAGGTGTTAGTAAAATTTCCTTACTTTTCTGATGAGAAAACGAGGAGTGTTTCAGAGTCACAGCTAAAGTGACCATATACGTTATCATCCAAACAAGGATACTTCTGAAAGTGGAGGGGATGCTCTTAATAATTGTGCTCAGACAATTAGCATAAGCCAAGACTGCCTTGGGCACCCTGGAAGTGGAGTCACCCTATGACCCATATCAAACCTGGAAGAAAGAAGTGAATTGCTCAGGGTCACTTGGTGACTAGGACTGGGATCCAGGTCATTGGTTCCAGTCCAGTGTTCTTTCTAACTCATTAAGATCCTCCTCATCATTTGCAAACAAAAGCAATGCTGTCATTAATACACACAAAAGTATTGAAAATTTGGAGAAACTGCTACTAAAAGTGTGTGGCTTACCTCCACTTCCACTCTGACTGTGGCTAGGAAAAAAAACAGGGACAAATTAAATTAATATATGAATTATTTAGCTATCAGGAAGAGAAGTACATGTATAGGACAGTTAAACTAAAGAGAAATAATCTTCCATTTAAATATCCTCAGGATGTTATATGTTCTTTATCATAATAGATATGTTATAACAAGGCAAAAAACAAAATAAAACAAACCTAATAAGAACAAGTGAGTTTTGGTACTACATAAGGTATGCAAAACAATGATACTGTTTGTAACATTTTTCCATGAGGCAGTTTTCAGACTATAAATTATTATATCATTCCATAAACGTGCTTAATAAAAAACACAAGAGTATTATTCCCAGATCATATAGAACCATTACTGCATTAAATTCAATTCTCTTTCAACATCTTATAACCATAGCATTTGCTATTTGTCCAATAGCATTACCTTTTTAAAAAAAAATTCGAAATCTTATTTATGGGGCTTTTATATAGTGTTGGCACTGATTCCCTAAATCCAGATTTCCTGTATTTTTTATTTATTTCTTTTACATGCTGTGTTTTCCCTATTTTATAATCGTCTGTTTTTTTGCCTGTGCCTGCCACTAAAATGTGAATTCTGTGAGAGCAAAGGAAGTGTGTAGACTTGAGAACTGGGAAAAACCTCAGAAGTCATCTAGTTCAATTCCCTCATTTTGCAGAAAAGAAACTGAAGCTCTGAGAAAATAAGTGACTTGACCATGCCCGTTTAATCAACTAGTGAGCTGAGATAAGAACCTCAGCCTCCTGCCTTCCTATAAAACATTGTTTTGTCTATGCCTGGCTTTACTCCCTGTACCACCGTTTTTTCCCTTTGGATAATCTGTCAGCAACAGTTATCAGTCTGATAGTACAACCATACAGTATAATTAGACACCCATATCTGATCCCTCAACCTTAAAGTCAGATAAAAAAAATTAGTCTAATGGAGATCTATGGTTAATTTAGAAATAGAAAAACACTCTTGCTAATGGAACTTTATAGAAAACATGCTACGTATGTCTTAATATATAAATGAGGAATTGATTTTGATGGTTTAAGTATAGTCTTTTTTTATGTACTATTTTCACATTCATTTTCTCTGACACTTCCTTTTGAGCATGAAGCACAAAGTTAGAATTATGTGAAGACTTACAGTTCTGATTGGCTAACACTCCTGGCAAATATATTCCATCTTGGAGATTTTCATACCCAATTTCCAAAGAACAGAGTTACAACAAAACTGCCACACATTATTTCATTCTTAGAGCAATCCTTCCACTTCCTAAAAGGGTCTGTTTAGAATATAAAACACTTAACAGATGAACTAGAGGTAAGGAGAGGAGAGTGTGAGAAAAGAGGAAAAGAAGGGAAGAGAGATAGGCAAGGATAAATGGAAGGAGAAAAGTTGGGAAGCAGAGAAGAAAGTTTGTTAGTGCTGGAGGAGCGGGGTTTGCATTTGTAATTGCCTTTCCTTCATTTTTCATATTTGGTACAGACATTGCTTTAGTCAAGAAGAAAGCGAGAAGCCTGGACAGCTGTCAGGACCTGTGCTGTTAAGCCTCCTGTCTGCTCACAGCGTTTGAAGTGCACAGTCAGCTCTGCCTACCCTGGAGGGATCAGAAAAGAGCAGGTAAAGAGTGCAAGGGACCAGGAGGCATCTGGAGGAGGGAGGAGAGGATGGTGCTGTCTCTTATTCTTGCCTGGGCAAGCTGCCGGCTATAGTCAGCATCTTTCCTTGTTCTACTAAGAACAAAGCACGTTCTGTTATGAGATCTCTGCCAGCAGCAGCTGTAGCTTCAAAAACAAAACTTGTGTAGAAATTATGTCTCTTGTTTCATTTTCTTATTAAATATGCATAAGAGAGGAAAAGGTGCTAGTAAATATTATAGGGCTATACTTGTTTAGCATTTAAACCATACATCTCCTCCAGTCCCATTTTAGTAAATAAAATATTCTTTTTCTGCTACATGTTTAGTAACTAGAGCATGATATGTATGGACTTGATAAAATGGAAAAGGTAATGTTAGTTTTGGGAAATAGTCACCTTATGGTTAAATAATGCCTCATTTTAAAAACATCATCCCTTTTTTGTGGATTTATTATTTTTTTCTTGAGTATGTGCATCAGTGCAAATATGCATTTATTAATATAACTGGGGTCCTTTAACCCTCCAATAAATGTGCTTTTTTAAAAAATAAGAAAGGATAAACATAAAGTATATACAGTGGTAATATAAGTGGAATGGCATGCACATGTCCAGAAAATTCTGTAAATCTCAGAAAATGGCCATTTAGGACTTCAACTGACCTCAAAACCAATATTTACTGATTCCCCAACTAGGTCAACGTGTTTCTGATTACTAAAGCCAATTTATGATCTATAAACTCCAGTGTATACATTGCAGGTTTTGATATATGTTGCATAATTCATGGTCATAACATGTAAGAAGGTATTGTAGACTACAATTCATTTTAGAAAGACAAAATTTCCAGAAAGCAGCACAACAAATTTAAGTGATGACAAGAGGTAAAAGACCACAAGAGGGAAGTTTAATTCTTCATATGTCTTATAAGTGTCTTAGTATTTTAATAGTTTAAAATTTTTTAAATCGTTGGTAATTAAAACATTTTTTTCTTTGACATTTGAGTTATAAAGAAGGCAGACTTATTTTTACAAAAGAGATCGAGCACAGATTGTGTGTTTTGGGATCACAGTGGAGGATTTGCAATGCCACAACGTGGGCGTAGCAAAATGTGGATTCTTAACTGAGCTGGAGATTTTCTTCCTCCATTTCCTTTAACTTGAAGGGATATGGCTTTACCAGGAACAGGCGATATTGGAGGGAGGAAGGCATGAAAGGAGGAGGGGAATGGAAGAGCAAGAAGGGGAAGAAAGGACGAGGAAGATCAGAGCTAGGAAAAAGAGAGAGAGAAGGAGGCATGGACAAAGGAGGAGAAAGACTGAGACGGAAAAGAAGAAAAATGTACGTGCGAGAGGGTGGCCACTCCCCCTTAATTGGCTCCTTCAGAAAGGATGCTTGTTCTGTTTCTCTGCTCCAGGAAGGTGTTCCCATAATTCATGGGGGGAACATCACTCTAATCTAGTGGAATGAATGGGCAATGGAAATTTGGCCCCTTAGTTTGGCCCAGGGATCACAAGGAATTGAGTTTTTACTTTTTGTACTTTTTAAAGAGCAAAGGAGAGTTGTAGTGGAAAGCATTCTTTTTCTCTGTTATATTTTCAAATAAAAACAAATATATTTAGGCTCAAAGATTTCAGAGCAAAAAACTTTTATATTTTTCAGAACTAAATTTGATATTTCATGCTTCATATTTTACAAAGTCATACTTACTTTATGCATATCCCTAAGAGCAAGTCAGAATGAATATTATAAAACAGCATTTTGGAATGACAACACAGTTGGTAAGGTCTGGCAAATGGCTCATTATATTTCAAGTAGCATTTGATACATCTAACCAAAGAGTAAAATAAGACTCGAGTTTCAAATAGACTTGCGCCCATATTGGAGTGACTATACACAGTAATTTAGTGTAGGAATAGAGAGCAATAGGAAATATGGAAGGTAAAATTCTAGGGTCTTAAAATACATAGTCTATGACCAGGAGACAATCTGATGTGTTTTACAATTTGCTTTTGCACATACCTGCTAGCTTCATCCTGCTCTGCAACGTCATCATACACTTCTTGGTCATCTTCAATATGTCTCGATGGAAGAGGACCCAGAGAGGTTTTCTTCCGTTTCAAGGAATCATAGTCAATCTGTACAGCAGTTGTCTTAATATAGCCATCTACCAAAAGAGGAATGAATGATTTATGTTCAGGTAACTGCAGTTTACATATTTTAAAGTTGTGAATAAAATATCAATTGCGTAGTTGCTCTTTAAAATGGCCCTTCATTTCTTTGCTTGCAATTCTGATTGATTTATAGACTTCCCGTGCAGACACATGTTTTACTGTATGTTGTCTACGTTTTATGTAATTGTGGTTTGGAATAAGCCTAGAGTCTATTTTCAAGATTCCAAAGTGACTCATATGACTCGGTTTTTTGTTGTTGTTGTTGTTGTTGTTGTTTTAACATCAATGAAGAAAACCTAATGCCCTTTGTTCCTCCCTGGAATAATATAAATATTTACATTGTTCCCCACTAAAAGATAACACAGATGAGGTGAAGATGGAGGTGTACCTTACTGTCTTTGTCCACCCTGTGCAATACTCCTAATTTAATGCTTATGAGTAATTCCTGAAGAATTTGCACATTTCCTTGTGGCTCACCAAGATGACTCTTTGAAGTCATAGGGAAGTTTGCACTCACATGACCCCCTGGCTGTCCTGCCTAACCATTTGCCCTCAGGGTTGTCTGTGATGCGGATTATTTCAATTTGCTCTCCTTGCTTGAAGCTCAGTTCATTCTTTCCTCCTTTGACATCGCAGCAAGCTTTTGCTTGATGGATGACTTGAATCGGGCCTGTTAGCTGCAATGAAGAAAAAACATAATCACAACAGGCTTCCTTACTATTCAGAAAATCTTTAAGGAATGCAGTTTTGAAAGACAGCATGTCCACAACTTGCCAACCTGCCTATTTCCGATATTTACAGGTTTGAACTAGAAATTGAGGATAAATGTCATTCCTGGGGAATGGTCTTAGAAGAGGGGTTAGGGAAAAAAATCACAGGGGTCAGGCAGGACCAACAAAGAATAGGTAAGCATATACCTGGGGTCCAGGAGAGGGTGATTTGTGGACCTTAGGAACTCTGTGAAAGGCTTTCAAAGGAAGTCACTGATAATGTAATACCACTGATATATGACAATTCACGCTGGGTGCTGTGTGTTTTTTATGGGATATGCTGATGGCTTGCCTGGTAGATGGAGGTTTTTCCCTCTTTGCATTGTGCAGTTATTCTGATGGTTCCCTGCAGGACTCAAACAGCAAAGGAAAGGGTGTATGGTGGTGGCGGGGGTACTCGTGGGAAAAGCATTTTCTTCCTTTCTTTCTCTTTTTTGATTTTGCAGTATTGTCTATCTAAACATAAACTTGGAGTAGGCATTCTCTGCTATAAACAAGATAACATTTTAGAAATAGTTTTGTGAATTAAAAATAGTGACCAAATGTTGTGAGGTTTTACAAATTAACATCCTGAATAGCACAGTGGTAACTTGGCAGCAGGGAAATAAGCTACTTTAGGCCATGAATCCTAAACTCTTCATTTTCGAATCCTAAATTGGTGTCTTTTCAACAGAATTTCTTGGATCTTTTGATATGCAAATATGCATTGCGATTTTTTTTGAAGAAGTTCTACCTTATTTTATTGAACTTATGATGCTATGAATTGTGAGACATACCATTAACAATGTACCACTAAGAAAGAAAATGTCTTAATTTAAATTATGATGTGCCAATAATGTTAAGATGCATCCTAATTTCAAAATTTTTAAATGTGAAACATTTTGTCTTAGAATTAGGGAAATACGGTGCTATCTAACAATTCCCACAATTAATTTATTTAGTTTTTAACATTTATTAACAATCTGTGGAAGGATATAGCTTGTGAAGCCCCAGTCTTGACAAAATTTTGAGTTCATATTAGTGCTATGATTTCCATAACGTATTTTTTTCTTACTAAAAGTATTGTTTGAATGAGTGAGTGAAGCAATGAAAACTTGATTTCTCCAAAAGAAACACAAGAAAAGCTTCACATAATTCCTTCAAAACTATACACAATCTCTTCATAAAATGTTTGTTGTGAAGATTTTCATTTAATAAATTAATTTTTCATATTTTCCACTTGAAAAATATAAACATTGGCAGATGCATTCTGGATGAGTAAAATGTTTTAATATTCATACTTCAATCTTAATTTTACTTATACATAGTAAGCAGTTTCAAAATTTAATGAGAAACTATAATAGACACTGTGCCTTATGTGCATTATTTTATTTAATTCCACAACAAACTTTTGGGAGAGGTATCATTCATTTTCACCTTAAAGAATAAGAATCTGAGGTTTGTCGAAGTTTAGTAATATGCATATGATCACATAACTCGCACGTGCAGCTGGAATTTGAATCCATGTCTGTCCAGCTTTACATTTTCCCTGCACTATGCTATTGGACCTTTGTTTAAATATAATAAATAGACTGAGACGGTATATATAAATCAAATTTTTATAATTTAAATCATATAGTAAATGTTTCAGAGGAATTAAATATTTAAAGAAAACTTGGTATCAATGCTTTCGAAAGAATAGTTTTGTAACTCAGAAAATCACTCTAAAATATAGCTGATATACCAGGCCCACACCAGATGGGCCATGTCATCAAAGACGGTAGAGCCAAGAGAGGATAGCCTGCAAGTTCAGTGTCAGCGGTGGCAGTAATAGAAGTCACAAATTAGAAATCAGAGAAGACAGAGGTCAGGAATCCAGGTAGATGGAGAGGGATGAGAAACAGCAGGTATCCGAAGTCAACATGTACACAGGCTTAAAAAAAAGGGCAGTTGGAGTAGCTTAGAGAAACTCTTCTGAGGTAGGTCTGGTTCCTTCAGGGATACTTGTGTCCCTTATACCACTGATACATACCCCAGGGGTGTATGTGGTCTTGAGCTCACAGCATAAGTAGGTTAATATGAAATGTGTAATGAGGAGAGTCAAGATGGGTTTCAGTAACTGAGTATTCATTCACTCAAGCCACATAAAATTTCCTGGATTCCCAATAATTATAAGCCGCCATAATTTGGATATTATCATATCGTATTTTTAGTGCAGGGGTAAGGGAGTGTATTGGACACCACAGACACACACACACACACACACACACACACACACACACACACA